AAATTGCAAATCATTAGAAAAGACTTTGAAATCAAATAGACCTATCCATATGGGTGTAATAATCATGAAGCAGCAGATTTCAAGAAAATGTTGATGCAAATCCTTAATAATTTGGGCAAAAAATGTTGTAGTAGATGACGTCATTTACTCCATTAGTAAGCTAAGTGATGTTTATTTTGCAGGGAGAATGGAAACCAAAGCAAATTGATAACCCCAACTACAAGGGTGAATGGGTACACCCTGAAATTGACAACCCTGACTACACGGCTGATGATAARTTATATAAACATGATGATATTGGAGCYATTGGTTTTGATTTATGGCAGGTAATGTCTGAAATCCCTTGAAAGTAGCGGCGGTTGAATAAWTAATGGCATTGTTTTAATATTGTTACAGTCAGACTACCTGAAGCATTGAACATGTGGTGATTATTAATTTAATGGTTTCAATATTCGATTATTGAGTTGATTCATGGATTCAAATACTCTAATGAAGTTTTAGATATTCAAAAATATTCAAGTATGAAAAGACAAAAATAATAACAAAAAATGATATGTGCATGGGCGATAACTGCACATTTTCAAAACTGTGAAGTTGACTAAAAAAATAAATAATAGAATAATAAATTCATTAATGATTCCTACAAGTTCACTTTTCACGTAGTTTGACTKTAAGAACAAGTGAAAGTTAAGAGAAATAGGACATCAACAAAATTCCTGTCTTCGATTCTTCTATCATCAACCTTTTAGGGGGGAGGGGGATTGATGTTAGAGAACTTATACAACAAACACTTATCAACTCCTCAATCTCTTCCTTCATATAATAGAAAGAGAGAAGATSACAAAAATGAAGACAGAATATAATGTGATACTGAAATTTACTTTCTTGTAAAGTCCTTGCTAAATTCAGGATAAAATATGTTCATTGTTTGTAATGTATACATTTTAATTTATTTCAGGTAAAGTCTGGCACAATCTTTGACAATGTTCTGATAACTGACTCTGTGGAATCTGCAGAGGAAATGGCTAAGGAATTTGAAAAGACCAAAGAAGGTGAGAAGGCTATGAAAGACAAGCAAGATGAAGAAGAAAGGAAGAAACAGGAGGAAGAAGACAAGAAGAGAAAAGAGGAGGAAGATAAGAAGAAAGCTGAAGAAGAGGACGAAGATGATGAAGAGGAGGTTTGTTTTAAATGTTTAAAATTGTACATGACTGATGTTCTTAACCTTTGATTGTGGGACTTGCTTGCAATGATCAAAATAGTTTGGAAAGACATTTCTGCAGTATACATAATCAACAAAAATTGTTATTTTGATGCAGGATGCTGATAAGAAAGATGAAAAGAAAGAGGAACCCAAAGAAGAGAAAGAAGAGGCTAAAGAAGAAACCAAGGAAGACACGGCTGAAGAAACCAAAGAACCTGAAGAAGAAAAGAAAGAAGACGAAACAACAGAAGAAACAAARAGRGATGAACTTTAAGTTTCTTAGTTTTTCAAAGGAATTTTTAGCTCATTTCAATTCATGTCTTAGTTTCAAATTTATATCTTCTAATTGCAAAGATGCTTTGTTTGACTTTCCTGGTGTAAAAAATGTGAAGCTCACACAAATCCATCTGCCATCTCCAGTAATGGTACTTTGATGGTATTTCTTGTCGCTCTTCAAGGTCTTTATAGGAAAATTTGTAAGCACATTATTTTGCAAAAGCAAAACATCTACATGTAGCAAACACAACAAAACATGGACATGTATGCTTGAACATGTTGAAATAAAAATAGCAACATTTTACAATATGTTTTATGGATATTTGAGTGAACACACTTAATCCATGCAACTGTACAAAATCTAAGTAGTGCTAATTTGTACTTAGACTTTAAAGTGGACCTGAAGCAAGACGGTATTGAATGCTTCATTTGTATCAATTAAATTTGCA